GCACTGCACTGCACTGCACTGCTCTGCACTGCACTGCACTGCACTGCACTGCACTGCACTGCACTGCACTGCACTGCACTGCACTGCACTGCACTGCACTGCACTGCACTGCACTGCACTGCACTGCACTGCACTGCACTGCACTGCACTGCACTGCACTGCACTGTACTGTACTGTACTGTACTGTACTGTACTGTACTGTACTGCCTTTACAACAGGTTGCAACAATATTATGCTGACCTGTTTTTTACTGTTAACAACATTGAACAATATTATTCATCTTGAATGGGGTGCAACAATGCTGAACAATATTGTTAACATTCGTGAACAATAGGCGTAGCATATTATTGTTGCAACCTGTTTTTATCAACATTGCAACTACAAGTTCATGATTTTTACGCGTATAGGCAGGAGAAGAAAAACGTTTTTTTCCGATTTAGACACGTGTCCTGACAATTCCCGGAAAATTCCTGTGACACCGGTTTTACACCCAAAATACCAGCCATATGGCAGTTAGCCTGCATGGCAGGCGGTTCCTAAAATTGGGCAAGCCTGGGAAATACCGCCTGCTGGGTTTGGCAGTGTAATCGAATTCCCCGTCCACCAGTGGACGGGAATTGATGATTGGCTGCGAGTCTGAGCCGCTGTCACTCAAAAGTGAATACACTTTAATATGTAAACATACGTTTGACACTTTAATGATGCATGCGTTCGCTTTAATTAATAGGTGTTGTAAAGCTGAACGCTTCTCGAAAGTCGAAACGCGAACTGATTGTCAAACGCGAGCAAGAGATAACAGTTAAAGATTTACTCCTTGGAAAGAATGTTTTGGCCATTCTATGGGAAAAGCTTGATTTTTGCATCGTTCTTGTTGGCGCGAGAAAATATAACGAGAATAGATACAGACGGCCGTATAGTCTTTCTTGCAACGGGTTTTATAACAGGACTATTACGCCTATGCCTATTAATAGCCGCTTCACTTTCTGAACTTTTTAAGGCTTTCGTTACCACACGGCTTCGTTAGGGAGACAGAGACAGTTCATATTGGCAACTGAGGTTTTTAATATACAACTGTCTATTTGTTCGAACGTACACAAGCAACGCGTTTATGTCTCGTTTGATTATGGCAATCAGTTCGCTTGCATTTCGGATATTTCGCTCACACGGTTTACAAACTTGGTCGGATAGTTCCGAGGTAGAATTAACATCGATTCCTAAATGAACTGAACCGGCAATTCGGCTCATTTCGGCCAAGGTTTTACCACTGTCGTAACGTTTCTTTTGCTTGCCTTAAATAAATAATTTCTCCAACGATATATAAGAATATAAGATATTTTCTCTATTGGCGTATTGCCCCGTATTTTAATTTCAAAGCACACTTAAGTCATTTACATTTTCCGCGCTTGCTTTTCTACCTCTTGTCGACATATTTTTATACATTTGCAATTTTGCGACCAAATAACAACATAGTTTGACAGTTTGATTATAAATACATTTAGTGTTTGCTGATTGGCTAATTGGACTCGGACAAAAAAGTGGGCGGTTATCAAATTACACTGCCAAACCCAGCAGGCGGTATTTTAGACCGCCTGCCAATGCAGGCTATATGGCAGTGTGAAGATAGTATGCTATCACAAAAAGTTGAGTTCGAAGTTATATGGAGAAAATTGTAGATTGCATTATTAATAAAAGATAAACTGTCAGATTATATTCGTTCTTCGAAAATTTGTGGTTGTCATTTTACCGGGAACTTCTTTCTTATATTTATTCAGTTTTATAGGCAAATTACATGTGTTCGCAATGGTCTAGCAAACAACGAATTCGATTAAATTTGCCCATTTCAGCGTTTTACCCCATTTCAGCGTTTTATCCCCATTTCAGCGTTTTATCCCCATTTCAGCGTTTTACCCCCATTTCAGCGTTTTACCCCCATTTCAGCGTTTTACCCCCATTTCAGCGTTTTACCCCCATTTCAGCGTTTTACCCCCATTTCAGCGTTTTACCGCCATTTCAGCGTTTTACCCCCATTTCAGCGTTTTACCCCCATTTCAGCGTTTTACCCCCATTTCAGCGTTTTATCCCCATTTCAGTTTCCGCTTTCAGTTTCCGTTTCCGCGATTCAGTTTCAGCGTTTTATCCCTACCCAATTTATGTGACAATAAATTAACAACATGCTCGATTCGACAAGTTAGTCAATGGGCGAGTTGAATGACACTTCACACAAACAGACTTAAGTGTTCTCGGATCCTCAGGATCATAAATTTCCTTGGTGAGATCCTTATAATGTTGCATTAAACAAGATTTGAAAGAGACAACGGTTTTGTTGGTTTCTCTGATCAAACAGGGGAGTGTATTCCACACGTTGGCAACTCTGACGTAGAAGCTGTTTTGGTAGCTCACTGTCTTGCACTTGGCTACTTCAAGTAAGATACCATTGGTTGCATTAGCACTTCGTGTTTCTCGAGTAGGAATATTGATAGAAATGTTACTGTCAGAGTTGGAAATGATGCACTTGTAGAGATACACTAATAATATAATATATAATACACTAATGATATAGATTCAAACGAGGATGAGAGTGCTGCATGAGAGTTGGCAGCCACGCGACCTTGATTATAGCTGTTCTTAATGCTTTCCCTATATCTATTGACTATTGCTAACACTATCTCATGAATCGTGAGCCAATCACCTTGCGTAGTAAGCTAAGTAATTTACTGATGAGAGCGAGACTCCAAAAAGTATGTATGACGTAATTATCGAAAGGTTATTATACTGTATGACTATTCAAAGTAAAACTTAAATCAGATATTTTATGAATTGTTATGAAAGTCTTCTTCTCTGGTCATGTTATTGAAAATCCTTCTTCTATTTACAACATAGTGCATATTGTTTGGCGTTTTTGCATGAAGTATATGTTTAATTAATACTAATAACTATTGTGAATAAGTTGCATATGCCCTAACCTGAAGTTCAGGCCCTATCACAGAATAGGGCCTGACACAAAACCTATCTAAACTGTGGGATTCCCGTCCACCTGGTGGACGGGAAATCTGATTGGTTGATCAGCATCATGAAGGATTTTGATTGGTTGCAAGTTCACATAAACAACAGTTTTAAAACTAGGTTACCTAAAATGTAGTAAATGCTGCCTTTAAGAAGCACACGCCATGAACGTCAGTTTAAAATACTGTTTGTAGTGATTGCAAATCAAAGATGTGTTATCGCATATACGAAATATACAAATACAAAATTTGAAGCGCAGCCTTATAAAACTGCGAGACGTATTAAAATACTATCTAAAATATAGTGAAATATAGCAGTATTTAGTATTTGTCGTTTGTATTTGTACGCGCACTATAAAAACAGCGATTAATTCAACAGATTCCACTTGATATATTCTTGCTTATGCTTTAGTGAATATTTATACTTCCATAAACACAAAGGCCTGTTTACATTTGCAATTTTCACTGCGATTTCTACAACGATTTTTTGAAATCTCCAATGTACACACCCTGCGATTTTGACTGCAACTTTGGTGCGACAACACTGCAATTTGCAGCGATTTTTCCATTTTACTGGCTTGTAAACTGAGTTAAATTTTCAATACTTCACTCAAGTTTACAAGCAATACAAAGATTTTGTTCTGATTAGGTTGTTTACGGCTGTTTTCTGACAAGTGATTGGCTGTAGAAAACAATTCCCCGACTGTTCGTCGCCTGTTAGTCCCTTATCTCTTCTGTGCTGTTAGTGACGTTAGTAATTTTAATATGAGTTATGTCATGCAAAATGGGTCTGAAACTTTCTGTATTGAACTACCACTCGCTCACAAATTAATTAACTGCATTTATAATTCTATTGTAGATTTATACCTGTGCAATATTGCTTTTAAAAACAGCGTGAAAGTGAAGAATTGTAAATATTTAATAGCACTATAATTCAAATAGCCGCCCTGATAGCCGCGCGTTGCATGTTGGTAAAATGACTTTCAACCAACATGCTTTGCGGCTCTAGCAAGATTGAGATTTTAAGTAGCTGTACGATTTTAGTCTGCTGCCTTGCTCGCTCGCTTAATAGAGAGTTTGAGCAAGACAACGAAGTACGAAGACGAAGGCATACTTGACAATATTTGCCGCCTGTACATTATCTTGCGCATACTGAGTTGGACGTCACTGGTGTTTGCACAACGTGTCTTCCCATGTGTCGCTGTTTATGAATACTGACCATAATTCTTGCCCTGATCCAGAAAAAAACCCAGCGAGACATGAAACTATATACCGTTTTTGTCCTTCTGCCTTCGTGCAGAACGAAGTTCACAACGAATTTTGCCAAAATATTCGTTGTGAACGAAGGCAGAAGACGAAGACGGGATATGGATTCATGTCTCGCTGTTTTATCCTGATCAGGGTAAGGATTTGTGTCAGCATTCACAAACAGCTAGACATGCATGTCTCATCTGTCTTCACCCCTGACCCTAAACTCAGAATGCGCAAGCTAATGTGCAAGACAGGCAAAAATTGTCAACCACGTCGTCGTCATCCGATTTCGTTGTCTTGCTCAAACTCTCTAATGCTCGCTCGCTGCGGCAGCAAATAGCTCGGTCAAGGCGAGAATTAATATAAAGGTCAAACGCACGTAACAAATTCCATTATCGATTTCTTCGAATTTCTTTTCTTTTATGCTTTATAGAAGAAATAAATCAAACAAACAGTATTTAGAAAGGGCTTCATCGAAATCTTTGACGAATTTTGGACACACACGACGCTGAAAGAACAGCCAAACTAGTCATGTATTCGAAAGCTTGTTGTTGACAGCCAAGATGTTCTGCCAACTGGCTTCGCCGGCAAAAGTCTTATTTTTAATATCAGGTCCTATACCGGCGTTGACGTTGTTTTCTGAGCTACATCGCCTTCTTCGTGGTATGATTGAGAATTGAATTGTTGCTGTTATTAGCCCGTTAGTCGTTAGAGTATATCTGCGTCCAGCAAGTTGAGAACTAGTTGAGACCTTGAGAAAGCTTGGCAGTCAAGCCGTGCACAGAACTGACTAATTAAATCTTTGTTTGCTGTTCGCCTGTTCGGTTAAATAGAGAAACTGACTCTTAATTATATAAAAGTACCTTGAATTTTTAAGTTTAATTAAAAAGCACAATGCTCTGCGGACATGTTCATGAGAATATAATTTTTTTGTGTAACGAAATCTACAACACTTGTCAATCATATTGCATGTGTTTATAAGTAATATCATGAAATGAGGAGTATTAGTCATTAAACCACCCGCTCGACTCGGGTCATTTATTAAAATTCCCTCGGGCCTAATGACTAATACTCCTCATTTCATGATATTACTTTGTAATATTATTTTTGCGTAAATTTCACCCAAATCAGTGTTCAGACACTGTCAATGATGTCGGCGGAGCGTTATAAGACGTTCTGTACTGAAGAGAATGTTGTGGCTTGTCGGATAATTTTGCTCAAACTTTCCAGGTGATGTGGTAATACTAATACGACCCGTAGTGACGTCAACTGAGGTCGTATTAGTTCTAATACGACCTGTAGATTTGAGTAGGCGAGTGAATTAGTTACTAATACAGCACAATAGAACAATAGAAATTCACGCAAACATGATATTAGTCTAAAAATAACATGTGGGCGACGGTCTAGACAGGTTTTGTGTCAGGCCCTATTTCAAACTAGGGCCTGAACTTCAGGTTACATATGCCCAGATAGATGTACGCTGTGGTGTACTAATAGAGAGGTTAAGATACCCCGGTTCCGCGGCCGGTTTACGGGTACGAGTATCGCCATTTTGTTTATCAATTTTTGCTGATGTCAGCAATTTTACCCGTAATTTCTACCCGGTAAACCATGGTCTACACGTAAACGACAAACGGGTACGGGTGTTTTCTGTTTACTATTTTTGGGCCGTTTAAACAGTACAAATTTTCAATATCTTTCCCAAATAAATAATGCACATAAACTGTCAAAGTTTTCAACAACTTATGGCGAACTTCAACAGCGAAAGTTGCCGTTCTCTAATCGGTTTTCGCACGCCGACGTATCTTGGATTTCTTAAGTTACAAGTTATTCTCCGATTTACGGGTACGGATACGTGTATATCACCCGTACCCGTAAACCGGAATCGGGGTATCTTAACCTCTCTAATGTTTCAGCTAGCCGTTATGACGGCTAGTAAACTTATTTTATTTTCGTATATATACATTCTCTGACAGCTGATGATATGGGATATATACTAGTACTGATATCTAATTTCCATATATTTTGCTACATATTAACTAATAATCTACATTATGTGAAGTGGGTAAAATCCGTTTGGGCATTTACCAACTATATAGGTTAAGGGCTATTTAAATTACCTATATTATCTAAGGACTAAGCTAAAATGTATGAATTAATTAAACGTCAACAAACACTTATTACAATTAATATGAAGACTTGATCCAAAAGTTCCTCCCAGTTCAAAATAACCGCATCTTGTGATAGATCTCGTTATCTCGGAACTCTGAATTTAAACTAGGATGACACCACGTGTCTGCAAGTTATATAGCCTGCGTGGCAGGCCCTCAAATTTATGGGGGGCCTGATTTGCAACGGGCAGGATTTTGGCGGGCTCCGGGGGAGGATTCCCCGGAGCCCGCCAAAATCCTGCCCGCTGCAAATCAGGCCCCCATAAATTTGAGGGCCTGCCACGCAGGCTACAAGTTATATAGCGTGAGGTCGAGGATCCAAATGCTTTTCCAACAGGTTCAAATCCAATACGTTACGAGATATTATATATATGTTATTGTCAACCTTACCTCGCATCTTTTTTCTGGTTTCTAATGCGGTGGGTCCCATACCGCTCATGGCCGTGAGATGCTTTAAACAAGTCACTAGTAACCCGTTTAACCATATATAGACAGCGTGTTAATTTAGGCAACTTTGAAAACTGTTATAGTAATTAACGAATTTACTGTGTGTATCAACTAATATAAAAATTTGTTGAAGAAAATCTACGTACGTCGCTGTGAAGAAAACCTGAACTACTCTAAACTATAACGCATTAGATAGCTTTACCAGCACTTTCTATATTATTATATGGATGTCTAGTTGAAAAACCTGCTTATATTTGAACGCATGCATTTTCTCATGGTAGTATCGAAATTATGTTGCAATGAGAATGCAAATCTCACCATACAACTTTGCTGTCGACGTGACGTCATTATAAGATTGATATTAGTTGAATGATACAAAAGAATAAATATATCATTAATATTCGCTGGGTTATGTGAGCACCACCTGCAATTAAAATAGAAAATACTTTGCCCTTCATTTGGGATTGTTTCAAATGTTCACAGCGAACTTAGATACATTGAAATGAACCCAATTACACTCAAGATATGCTTTAACATATGGTTAATGAATGATTATTCTTGGCAAGATTAAAATTAATAAAAACATGCACGTCGAGTATTATGACGTGTATCTGTAACAACTGCAGCATTAGTCCATTATTCCTGACCTTCACAGTTCACAATGACTTTCAATTCATACGTTTTTTCTTGCTTTTTCAATCTCTTATTTCGATTAATAGCTAGCTGTTTGGTGCTTAGAAATGAGCATATAATCTATTTATAGAAGGTAAAATACGATCTTATCGCTGCGCATGATCATGAACGAAGAAATTTCGTGTTTATCGCAAGCGTTCGCAATAGAATGGATTTAAAACATTCATGCAAATATGATAAAAATATATAAACATAATTGAATCTATAAAAAGCTTGGATTCCGTGATGGGGGAAATGAAAGCCTGACACAAAACCCTTGGCATAAGATTCTCTTAAAATAACAGCCAATCAGGTATTTCCCGTGATAGTACTCGAGGAGCCGATATTCAGGCTAATGGTCAACTGTTGCCCTTTGAAGTCAATGAAGTGATATCAACACAATAGTGAACTTTGTGACAGGAATAAGTACTTGTACATTACATACATCGCCGACATTGTGGTGCCGTTACGTTATCGATGTGTCACGGCAGCTTGCCAGATTACAATCACAGCCAATTTCGGCCATTTCCCATCCCTACATGGACTATGTATACTACGCCTAATTCTTAATAATTTTTACATCACGGAAACAAAATCTTCATGAAAAGAGATCATAACTTATATCAGTGGTAAAGACGACTGCATGGTAGGCATTTTCTTTCAAAATCCCTTCTGAAAGCATTGAAATATTTTTGACCTGATTTACGTAAATTAAAAGCAAATAGACAATATAGTTGTTATTTCGATCAACCGAGCATCAACGTATTATAGACATGAAATGAAAGTTACTCCAGCCAATATAAAAATAGGTACGCCAAGTATATATTAAAAAGCGGAGATTAAAAATGCTTAAGAATTTTGTTTCGTGCATGTCTGTAAAATCTACATGTTGAAATTTTAATTAAAGCTGTGCGTTAATGGTAGTTTTCGGCGAAAATTACAGTATGCACATTTTAGTCAAAAAACAAACGGTCAAACTGCAAGTTCGCGAACATTTTTGATCGCAACTAAAAAGTTGAGGTTTTTTTGGCAAAATTCCCGTGCAGGAAGGAAGTGCCTAAGGTCGGTCACCAAAACGTCATATCAAATCCGTCCCACTTTTAAGTGGAACGTTAATACCAAATCAGTTCCACTTTTAAGTTTGTTTTATTTATTTACATAATACCCTCAAGATCTGCATAAAAACAGGCAGTGGTGGAAATTGAACTTATAGAACTTCATTTACGCTAGCAAAGTTGTTTGGTGCGTTTGCAAAACCAAAGGTAAGTATACTTTCATTTGTAATAATTCGTATATTTTATGTTAAATAAGTCATAATATTGAGGATGATCAATTCGTTGCTGTAGGAACGAAGTCTGTTTTGTAATCAGTAATGTACCATTCTATTTTGTTCAGTTACACATTTATGTGTATATTTTTCTCGTAAGCGAATAGTTTGAATATCATTGTTTAATTAACCAGTTCCTCCCATTTCCCAAAATGGGCTGTTCTGGATATAAAATGAATAGTTTTAAAACTGTCGTAAAATGTCTATGTATTCTGTGTGTAATGTCTATGTGTTTTGTATCTGTTAAAAATATTATATACAGTATATCATAGTTAATAAGAGTATATATAAAACATTATTTGTATCGTACTAGTATGTAAAGGTCATGATAGGACATAAAATTTTGTATGGTCAGTATAATATGGGAACACCTAATCCCACATGAAAACATCACGGACATGACTTGGGATGATGTGGTAGATTATGATTAGATTATGGACCACAAAGTAGGAACAAAATATCAGTAAACGTGTTCCATTTACGACTAGGAGATTTGTGGTAGAGAAAATATGTATTTCTGTTCTGTTAGTATAAATATGCTAAAAAGGGGTTATGTATAGTGTTGTGTTGAATATGTTATGTGTGTGTTAGTTGTTGAATTGTGAGTCAGTGTTATTTATTTTATTTATATTACACAATAGTGTAATATAGTTATTTATATTATATTAGCCTCAACAACTGCAAAAGTTTATTTCCACGGGAGGGGAGGGGCATTGAGCGAGCGACGAAGGCAAGAGTTTTGTACGGGGGTCTGGGGCGTCCTCCCCCGAAAAATTAATTTGAAATCTGGAGACTCCAAAATTGCTATTTAGTGCGTTTTGGAGGGCATTTTAAATAATTCTGAATACAATAAAAAGTTAATGTTTAACACTTTTACTCGCATTGTGCTTGTCTTTCAACAAATGTTTTTAACTCAAAGCTATACTATAATTTATAAAAGTTAAAGTTTACAAACATCTAGACGAATCCCTAAAGAATTTTTTCATATACTCTCATTAACTATGATAAAAATATACAAACAAAGACTTACTATACTGCATACATTCACATTTCATGATTTCACACAAAAATGTGTTAAAAGGACCTAAGAAGTGGGGGGCCAATATTGCATGAGTGGGGGGCCAACAGGAGGGCCTGGGGGGCCAAATGGCCACACAGTATATATGTTAAAATATGCCTTGGGGGGGGGGAGGGGGCGTATAAAAATAGTACAAAGAATATAAAAAGGAAGGAAACTATAAGTCGCTAAAGTCGCTATTATATGTACATTATCAAAAGCAACTGTAATTTACGGTGGTGTGTACCCGCAGATAAAGATTTGACTAGGAGTTACTATCGCAAGGAAAGTGCTGCCTCAGGGATCAAAGGTACCCCCAAGGGATCAAAGGCAGCATGCACAATTTTTGAATAAGGGTCTGTTTATATGATCCTACTTTACCGGGACGAGATGTGCGGCAGGATTATTTTGATGTATTGAGATAAGTTACAATGCACGATTCAGCAAAAAACTTTATTTTCTAGAGATAGATTATAGTTAACTGTAATCGTCTTGAACTACAATATCTTCTCTAGTATGCAGCATTTGAGTTCTGTTAATCCATTAAGCACCAGCGCTCTCCCCTTGACGAGTAAAATTTTTTGGCATTAGACAGAGTAAAATAATTGTAGTAATAATAGTAGGGCACATCAGGGCGCAATGCAAATCAATGAATTAACCAGCATGCATGTGAATCGTCTAGCCTTCCAATTAACATGTAAACAGGTCCACAAGATGCCTGTTCAGAAGGTAGGTCTGGTAGGAAAAGTGCAATTTGAATATCGAACACCTTGCACAAAGTCGAAGGGCAACTAAATATTCTACTTACTACTTTCTTGGCATGGGCGGTTTTTATATGAATACCTTCAATATTGTAATTTCTTGCTTTTGTATGTATAATTATAATACTGTCTGTGGTGAAGCTAGAAGAAGCTACCGTATACAAATTGAATAATGCATTAGCTTGCATTATTCAAATGATGCAGGTTTATTAGCATGGCATGACCAGTTGCCATCGCTAACTTGCCACTGAATACTGTATAATACATATATGGAAATACTAAGTCAGTTTTTGTCCCAATTATTGTTTTAATTGCACCTTCAAGGCTATAGCCCTACCGCAGAACAACCAAACAATCTAAAAATGGAAAAGCCATAATGTTATTGGAAAAGCCATAATGTTATTGTGATTTAACATTGAGTTCTATCAAAGTTCTTTTGCCAGAGAGAACAGTTACCTGTAGGCGCTTTCTCTCTATATATGAGCAACCTGATCAGTCTGTTCCTAACCCTGAACTCGGTGGATATAATTTGCAGAATGCAGAACACAACTTCTGTACTTTTGCTCAGCTTTTACAAGGTTAGGAAACTAACACTAACACTAACACTTTCAGAAAGCAATACTTATCAACTCTGAGCAAAAGTACAGAAGCCGCGTTCTACAAATTACACCCGCCCCCTGAACCTAACCGGAATTGTATAATGTAATAGTATTCCGGTTGCTCATATGCCGAGAGAATACTATAAGATATTGTAACTTGATATAAATCTGAGTGGTTTATAGCTGATATGATATATTATGTATAATGATATATTAAATAAAATTCAAAGTGAAGTATGTTAATTAAATATTAGGCCAATACGTGAAATTTTATTTCATGAACCATTGTCAGACGACTCTGTATAATTGTCAGCCAAATCAATTTAGATTGTCATTTGTATATAATATATGTGGTGTACGATGCTTTACTGTAATAATATAAAGCTATCTTAAAATATATTTGGAATTGTTTTCACACATACATTTTCATACAAATATACATAAGCAATTACTTCAGTACAAGTTGTACTAAAAGATCAGAAGTATATACAGAGTATATAAAGCTCAGAACAGCGAAAATGTGGGGCAGGTATGCCAGCATTAAATGTGACAATTCGATCACGACTTCACTTTATATATAAAAGCACGGTTAATAGACAAAGCCATGAGACAAATATATAAAACACTCACCCTTTCAGGGATTCCGGTTTACTAATTAATTTAAAACAATTCTTAAACATACAAAATTTGAGATATTATCATTCAACAACATTTCATAAGAACATAGTTTACGATAATCTTCATTTATCTTCAAAAACTCATTAATAATTCAGGAGGAAAACACAAAGAAAAATCATAAGCGTGTCGTGGTTTTATATGTGATAAAAAATCATGTTAATTTACATAAACTTCAGCTTTGATTTTCTCGGTTTAGACAAAGTTTATTTTAAAAATTACTTCGCCAATGAACTCGTATAAGATGAGTCGTTTTTGAAGCCATTTAAAGCACTTGTAGTCGTGTTTTATCACATATAAAACAATCCGCTACGCGTCGTGTTTTATATGTGATAAAACACTCCTACGCGTGCTTTAATTAAATAGTACTTATATAATTGAGCACATTTCATGCCATAAATGTTGCGATATCGATCAACAGAATGAGCGATTTCATCATTTCAATGAATAAACAGAACAGTAGCCTGCGAACAGGCTCTTCTTGATAATTCAACCCCCCGGGGGAAGATACAACATATTACGTAATGCTCTGCAATTGCTCTGCGGCCTTTGCCAGGGTTCTCTTCATTCTCGTACCCAGAGCCCTTCGTACGCGCGGTGCGACGAGGGGCTCTGGCCAAATATAATCCATATCCGAACTGGCATCTGATTGGCTAGTTCTAACACCGGACATTGTTTTCTTACCATGTTTTTGTGGTATCCGGTTATGGATTTGGCCATCGTCGCACCGCGCGTAAGAAGGGCTCTAGGTACGAGAATGGGTTCTCTTCAGCCCGCGGCCACACAAAGAGAACCCTGGGTACGAGGTTGTATTTCGGGCTGCAAAAAGCGCCGATAATTGATAAAGTCATATTAAAAATCACATTGCTCACCTCCAGAATGAACACTAAAACGTTCATCGCCTTGATAAAAATCGGCAGAAAGAAATAAAGCCATAGTTACTCCAAAAAATGCTCGTTTCTTTACATGTATAAATTCCTTTTCACCCAGTCGATTATTGTAAAAAGTTAAAAACTCAGAAATATTATTCATCCCCCCCAAAGATTCGAATGTAGTATCCCCCACAATTACGACAATCAGACAGACAGACACAAGATTTTGATTCGAGTTCACATAGATCCGCGCGAAAGACTGGGTCGAGTGAACTCTGCAGAATCCTCAATCTCGAAACCAGAGCCTGCAATCCTCTGTGGAGGCTTGCTGAGGCTCTGGGAAACACCAGCAAAAGTCGGGCTCTGATTGGTTGTTTTCAAGTGCTAATTATTATTCAAACTGTGGGTTTGGTTCAAACATCGTGTAGTTAATATACAGTTTATTTCTCTTTGTGTATTATGTTTAAACATATCAATGAAACACACAGCATAACTTTAATAAACTTATTAAGCTTCCCTAGCTTCTCATATGAAATCAATAGACTATTCTGATATTGATATGCCAATAACAAAATTTAGAATAACAACAGTGCAGCATTACCATGTAAGGTCATGATAAGCCTTTGCTTGTAATATTTAAAATATAACACAACAATCCATGATTTACCGTACGTAATTAAACAAATTAAAATAAATCACTACCAGTATATTACAACAATTCAAAACCATGGCAAGCTAGTGTTCTTTGAAGAATTAAAGTCGTAATAAGCTTAAACAACGGCATAATTCATGTTTGACGGCAGTAATGTCTATTTATAAATGTCGAGCGGAGTACTGGACGATCCAAATGTACTGATTTTCGTGCAAAAGTCGCCGGTGTTTCCCAGAGCCTCAGCAAGCCTCCACAGAGGATTGCAGGCTTGGGTTTCGAGATTGCAAAATCCTGAGCAAGCGTCAAGAATAGCGTGCTGCCGAGCGCTATTTAACCCCCATCCCATTCTAATATTAACCTCCTACTCCAGGGGCCGGTTGTATAAAACTCTTAATCACTTTTTGCTGCCGAGCCTCAGCTCGGCAGCACACTATTCTTAACATTACATGACGTTCTTGCTTTTTCGTGTCCAGTCCCCGCGGCCGAGTTATGTATAGTCGAATAGCGATTTTCACTCGGTGGAGATTTCGGCATTCCAGGGGGCTCATTAAGTATTCAAGTTGGTTTGTAAAATGAGGGGGTTGTTCAACAAAATTTTCTTCAATGATGCGAGCAGGCTACTCAAATATGTGTCTTTTAAGTGTTTCACCCGAAATTTTCAGTACATAAAGTAGTAATATCTGTATGTTTAGTTCATATACTTAGTGTTTATTTATCGATGTGATGAACCGGTTTAATAAAGTTGCGAATATCGAGGGTAACAGCCTGGGTTCATGCTACCAGCTACCTACTTATGGCACCTACTACAAATCGCTGGCTACTGTAGTATGTATATGAAAGAGTTTAAGAATTTATAAACTATTGTTTGTTCAAAGTCGAGTAATGTATTGTCATTATAATTTTATTTTGACATTATTCAAATGTCCACAATGGCACAATATGTCTTACAGTATTAAAATTCGCGCAGTACTAGAATTCGCGCAGCGCTGGGTGAGCAAATTTTAGCACTGCGCGAAATATAATCCGCGCGAAAAACGTTGTGGTAGTAAAGATAAAGCGTGCGTTTAACATAACAAGAACTCAAACACTTATTGCATGGTTCTCATTTCTGATTTGCCTAATATTAATACAATAATAGTACGACGCGAATTTTAACAAGTAAGGTATGGTATCATATTTCATTATATATAAACGAACAATGTAAACTAGCCATACATTTCGCCGAACATAACTTCGGCCCCTTTGGACATATCTTTTTCGTTATAGTTTCATTCGAACCAGAATCCAAAACACTATTCACAGTGTTATTTTCAAGCTTGTGTCTTCAGATTTTCTTTTATTTCGGTATTTACAGAATATTTATATTTTTAGCGCGGCCCGTGAAACGTTCCAACATCAAAACAGCTGTTTACATCATAGGGGTTTGGAAAAACCGGAAATCGATTCTACAGGTCAAAGTACTCCCAGTGGCATGGTTTGCATGTGCATCGGGCTATATACGCAACACGCAAGCATACACGTGGCGCGCGCGTGCGAGTAAAAACCCTATATTTTGAAAAATTCAAAATAAATATTTCTACTCGCCTTATTCAAACGAAACTTCCTACACGAAAGCGCTTCAATACAATTATACAAGGAGTATTTTACTCATATTGGCTCCAGCGACGTGCTGGGGTCTTGAAAAGGACGACGAATGAGCAACGTCTGATGCGGCCCAGGTCCAGTGACGGGATGGATCAAGATTGGGGCGGGGGGTATTACTGATCAAACATGAAACATTTCAGTAATGTTTTCGTAAATTTAGATTTTTTAAATATAAATTGTAATATCTTAATCTTGATTTTCAGAATTAAAATCTATATTTTAAAGTTAAAATCTGCAATTAGAAACAACAAAAATCGTAAAAGTTTAAATTGGGGTGACGAGAAATTAAGTCGTTTACTGGCACTGACGAGTAAAATTGTCTGGCGTTGATAGCAGGGCCGTAGCAACCGGGGGTCTGGGGTCTTCAGCCCCGCCCCCCCCCCCAAAAAAAAAACAACAAAACTTGTAAACTAGCGATAATCTGTGAAGTTTGAGAGGGATATAATTACCTAATAATCGCCCCTGACTAATCAGCTCCCCCAATACAAAATTGCTTCCTACAGGTAGTGGATAGGCAGTAACTATTAAAGTACGGCGCATTGCCAGCCAATGGCGGTTAATAAGAGACATTAGCAGATACTGACAGTACTCTACAACTGACAAGTAAAATCGTCTGGCGTTACAGAGTGTAAATTTGTCTGGCGTTAGACAGAGTTAATACTACAGTGGGGTGCATTGTCAGCTAATTGATATGCCGTTTATCCACTTTTGACCCAATGGCAACTTTTTCATGTTGGTTATTTACTCATGTTCCGTGCACGCAATTTAAGAATAAGTTCATTGGGTCAAAAGTAAGCTCCCCTTTGGAGTGGTTTTGCATTCTGTTCATGTGGCAAAAAAGGCAGCACTTTCCTTGCGATAGTAACTCCTAGTTTAATCACTATTTTGTAGTTAAATTGTGGTTAGCTCTCAAATACACGTTTCTTATTGGATGACGTTTCCACTAACTATAGTTAACTTTAATCACATTTTTATACAACCGGCCCCAGAACGACTGGGAAAAATAAAGCCTGCACCTGGAGGGCAAACAGAAGAAATACACTATATGAATTAAGTATATATTTCTCATCTGTATGTTATATTGTTATGGAGTTATTGTTTAATTCGAACCGACCAACTATTAGCTGATCATATCGACATGTATAAACGGCGCCGGCATTGTACTCTTTAATGTACCTTTTCAATAATTACGTCATGAATACGTACTTGGCCCGGGAGCCTCATTTTCATGAATTGTGAGCCAATCGCATTCGTCATGATTCATGAGAGCGAGGCTCCCAGGCCAAGAACGTACTCATGACGTAATTATCGAAAAGGTGTATAGCCATCAGACTACTTACCCTTTAATGTATAAAAAACCATGACCAGCCGACAATTTAAAAAAATAAAGTATAAAGCAAATTCCGAAAATACAGGACATCTTGAGAATTCAATATATAATTCAAAACAAGACGCAGTTTGAGACTGTAAATTTTCGACTTTATTTCAAAGTCATCTTCAGACAAAATGAAGATGACTTTGAAATAAAGTCGAAAATTTACAGTCTCAAACTGGGTCTTGTTTTGAATTATATATTGAATTCTCAAGATGTCCTGTATTTTCGGAATTTGCCTTTAATGTATATTCCATGCAATTCTTTGCTTCACTTTATGGACGTCAATAACTATTTTTATTGTATCGTTTAGTGTAAATTTCCCGCTTAGTCTGACGTAAACTCTAACTTATTTATTTTCGCTTTTCTTGTATAGGCCAGTCTATATTGCGAATTAATTTTGAAGATGAAATTTCTTTTTGCAATTTTTATCATTTCCACTTTAGTTTTCTCAGGTAAGAACTGTTTATCAGTTGAAGATAAACCTTTCAACTGTCATTATCGGTTGAAGATAAACCTTTCTTTCCAACGTTCTAAAAAAGTTGCTTAATTAAAGATGCTTTATAATATGTGAAATCAGGGCCTTTCAGAAGGGGGGGGGGGGGGGCAAAGGAGGCAATTTGCCCTGGGCCCCCAGTTAAAATTTAAAAAAAAAATTGGAACGTTTTGTGATATAAAGAATGGTATGAAAAAAATTCTAGACCTAAATTTTACAGATACTGGTCCGAAAAAATAGGGGGTTTTTACCCATGTTTTAACAGGAATTTGTCCGAAAAATTGATTTGAACCTTAATTTAGCTGGTCTATCAGTCGATGCCCAGAAAAATTTTTCGACCACTTTTTAGTGTAAAGTTTCTTCGAAACTTTACAGTATTGTGATGAGTGGCGAAAATTCCATAGGAGAATTCAAACGAATCAGTCGGTCGGTCGTCCGTCCGTCCGTCCGTCCGTCCGTCCGTCCGTCCGTCCGTCCGTCCGTCCGTCCGTCCGTCCGTCCGTCCGTCCGTCCGTCCGTTCGTTCGTTCGTTCGTTCGTTCGTTCGTTCGTTCGTTCGTTCGTTCGTTCGTTCGTTCAGTCAGTCAGTCAAACAGTAAACTTTGTCAGTCAAACAGTAAACGATTTATGTTTGTAGTGATTGTACTTAGTCAGTACTAGTGTTTTGAAGGTTATTTAGGGCAATTTCAGTTGTCTTATTTAAATAATCTTTTGTCCTTTTGCCAAGTTCACAAAAATTTCGAGGAATCGTTGTCGTTATTGTAATTTTTTGTAAATTTTATTACATTCGCTTCTCATGTTGTGTAAAGGATCTTTCCCCTGGAACACCCAATTTTTTCTTTAGCAGCGCAAATGCGCATGCACTATCAAGCCGTAGATCACGATGGCGTAACGATGCTAGGAGCGACAGTGTTGTTTTAGACGTGAATATTGAGTAAATCTTTGAGAATCTACGCAATATATAAATTGATGTTAGGCATCGATTTAAAAAGAAATTAAGAGGGTCCTGAGGGAGTAAAATGGGAATTGGGATTGATCTATTTTTAGACTGGGAAAATGGGATTTGGGTTGCTGGGACTGGGATTTGGCCACTTGGAATGGGAAATGAAGTCCTCAAAAATGGGTAATGCGAGTCGATTCCCAATTTTTCCATATTTTAAGTATTTTAAAATACAATTTTGATCCATTTTTGGTGTCTTTGGTCATGATGTTTGTTGTTAACGATATTATTCACAGCACTACCTGCGAACAGGCATACTCTGGCGCCCAGAATTCTGGATTTTCTGATTATGCGTGTCCCCAAGTCAGATGTACAGCGGAATATATGCCTGGTTTCCGGTATATACTTCATTTAACCCCTCGTATATACCTCAAAGGCAAAGCACAACCGCTTCTGCCACACGGTGGCTTAAAAGGTCATAAAACTGTTTATTCTACAGATAAATAACTGCTTTTTT